TAGTTTATTTTAATCTTCAATCAAATTTCACTTTTAATGCAAATATACATTACAACACTGTTCCCTACTACTCCCATCTTTTGTAAATTAAATCCTGAATGTTTTTGGTCATAAAAATGCATACTATACCCTTATAGAGTGCAAGTAGAAGCCATATTTAATGCAAGTATGTTTAGTTCCCTTATCTGAACAGTTGAGTTCCAGGTATGCAAAAACATTATGAATGGAGAAAAACACCTGTGTGCAATAGCACACCCAAATATTCCCATACTTAAGATAATCAAGCTCTAAAATTTGAAAATTCAAGCATTTCAAAAAGGGAGATGCTCCATTCTGTGGTTAATTAGTTCTTTGTAATTTTCAGCTCATACCTCACTCCCAGTCTTAATTCATATCCACCACGACTGCTTCAGACAGTTTTCCTAGGGAAGTTACACTGTCAGTGTATATATTGCTCACCTTCATACAAAGGTATTACCTTAAGCCTAGCTATTACCTGGTAATCTAGGACATACTTTCTCACTATTAAGTGACCCCTTACAATGCCCCAAAAGATTGAGAGTCCTAAATGTCACTCCAAACATTGCAAGTGTCACACAACAAAATATATTCTTTCTGAAAAAGAAGACTGCTACTAATCCTGACCAATCACTGTGTTGAGAAACCCAAGTTAGTCCTTGCATCTTTTTCCACCTGACTTAATCAGCATAAATATTCCTTCCATAAAAGTCTTTTGCTTCTGATCAATCTCACTGAGTGTGAGAACTAGTACCATCATACAGTTCTGAAAGGTTAAGGAAAGCATTCAGAAGGCATGAGTGAAATAGGTTGGCCTAGAAGAAAGAAATAGCAATTCTTTCATTCTGAGCAAAATTAGGACTAAAGAAAAGTAAGAGTTGTAAGGAGTATACTACAGCTAAAAAATTGGATGCTATTCTATGATCTCTATTACAGTAATCATTCTAAAGCTAAATTAATCTGAAAGTAGTCAGTGTCTAAATAGGAGACATCAGAATACTACACCCATTCCTCATTTAGCAACTACCTCAGTTAGTGACCATTTGCAAATACTATGGTAATAAAAAATTCATTTTCCAATCAATGCACACATTTACAACCAAATTTCATGCGCCTGACAAGAACATACACTGGAGTAAGAGTACTGCTGGCGTAGCTGTATGAGAGCACTTTATCTGAATGAGACGGCAGCAGCCAGTGATTTTTGCAGCATGTCTCTCTCTCACTCAGTTACATGTTCACTTAGCAACCATTTCGCTTAATGACCTGGTTGTTGGAACAGAACTTGGTTGCTAAACAAGGATTGGGTGTACATGTGCTATCCTGAGCTCCATGATAGAAAAAAGATCAGATTTGTTGTAAATGTGATACAACACTGTAACATGAAAAGAAAATTACAGTAACATGATCAGAGTGGGATGCACATCATTTATGTAAAACACACCAAGATACAGAAGCCTGAATGCAGCATAAAGCACTTGGAAGGAGGCTTTCCTGCTGACTGTTCATACAACACTTTAAGCCATAAACAGTGGTTTATCAATCACATTCACTATTAGCATATTGAATGAACTAGGCCATCACATTTAAAACATAATGGTCTGCTTTGGTTTAGAAGACTGAATGAACACAACTTCATAATATTTAGTCTGACTCGTGAGTTCAACATTTGAAGGGCAAAAAACTATACAGCTCTCAACATAAATGTTGCCCACATATTGCACAGAAAGTATGAACAAAGCAGTCTGCCTCTATGACCTACAAATATCACTGTTCATTTACTGTGGGCAGTAACTGTCACATCTTCATCATGAATCTAAACAATCATGCACAAAGCCAAAGAAAACCGCTCAAAGCAAAGTTTGTACATTCCAGGATTAAAAGGATGGGTAAAAAAGCTGATAGTTCAGAGAAAGCTAAGACAACAGAAGTTGGCTCTAAGCTAGAACCCAGCTGTTTAAGATCTGGACAAAGAGATCTGATATCAGGGAAAATACATATATATTAAAAACACCTAAGATGACACCACATTTTTGGAGTAAAAAACAGTATTAAAAAAGTAGGAACTGGTGGGGGAGGAAGGTGTCTTCCAAACTGAACTCAAGCCCTGATGTTCTTAGAAGCACCTGTCAAGAAGGAATAGAGTCTTCATGTAGTTACTCTCCTGTATTACATGTACATTGCAAACATGTAGACTAGTACTACATCTTTCCACATAAGGAAACTTATGTCAAATAGCCCTCAACTCCAGAACTAAAAAAAAATAGCAATTAACAAAATGTATGTGTACTGTTCAGCTGGTTCACACATCAAGGTAAGGAATATAGCTTGTTTACTTTTGATTAAGTATCATATGTAAATCCACAGATGGCCTAGCATTATGTTCAAATGAAGTCATTATGGACTGTTAAACCACAGTTTAAAACATGGCTTAGTATGGTAATTTCATCTTTACCATTTTCTTTGCCTTCTAGTCTTCCCCAAGTTCTATTAGTGGTTAAACAGAGTATTAGTACCAATAACTAAGTTTTGTTGCTAGGCTACTACAATATCAACATTAGATCATCATGAGAAGCCAAAAAATAATGTTACTATATTCACTAGAAAAATACCAAACTGTTTAAAGAGAACACTTTCTTCCAGCCTTATTTTTACTCTGTCCAAATATTACTGAAATTGCAAAAGCCACTACAGTCTATAATGATCAGCTAACCAGAATTCAAAAAGTAATCAGGCACTTGTCATGAAGAGGCTAAAAAAAAAAGAAAGGATAGCCTATCTTTAAGGACCAATGACAGCTTTAGCATTATTCTCTCTATTTAGTGAAGTAATGACAAAATCTCCTTGGTTCTATTTCCAATTCTTTATTGGCTTTCATGCTATAAGATACTTGTTTGATAAGAGCATTTATACTGAAGACACGAATGCGACATTTCCAGAGGATGGAGCAATAAATTCAGCTTCTTTTGAGTAATTAACACTTCTTTCCCACTCTGATCTTAAACATTTGATCACACTTCCTATCAATACTAAATGGACTTTAAGTATACATACAGAGGAAAGTAGTCTTAGCTGAAAAATACAGCAGTAGAATAGTAGCAATTTTAACTTTATAAACAGGAATATAGTGGAAATGTGGAATCTTTACTAAATCTTTTGAATGTGGGCATGTTCTATACTCATTACTAGTGATGCAGTATGGCAAACTGTTTCTATTCTATTGCCAAGAACACAACAAGGACATGTCCATCTGGTCACCAGGACTGAACATGACTCAAAGGATTTATTTAGCCTTAATGTATCACTCTCCAGCAAGTATTAACCTCAGTTTTTCTAATGAGAACTGATCATCCTGAATATCTGAGCAATCCCTATATATATAATATAGCAAAAACAGAACTGATACTTCTCTATCTAGAGTAATCTTTTTTAGCTATTATTTCATGAAGTGCAAGACTGATATCAAAACTATAGCATAAAGAAGTACTTGAATGCATTGAATCTGCAGGTCCCAACATGGGCCCATAATCATCTTGTTTGCTGAGCCTCATCCCCCTTTGTTGTTTTATGGCTTGCCAAAACATCATCACAGCCATTTTGTGAATGGATAAGCACCCTTGTGGAAACCCAAGCACTCGTATCATGCTTCCAGTGTGCACTCTAGCCCATACTCTAGCAAACTCCTGTACTGTCACAGATAAAATCAAAATAAAGCAAATTGATCACAAATACCACGGTAACCTAGATACTGGGTCACTTGCAATCTTGACTTTGCTTTTTCCTATAGCTATTTTACTCTAGGTTATTTTTTAAAGTTTTTGATCTTCAACTCAAGTGTGAAAATAAGATGGAGGTTGAATTTGAGAAAAAAAATTATGTAACCTATCCAAAAAAATTATATACACCATCCAAATCAAGACTCTGAGCAGGTTAAACCACATTAGAAATTATAAAAAATAACAATAACAATTAATCAAAAACCCATCAAGATGGACACTAATGAAATAGGGCAATATGATGCCATGTGTGTATTACCATTAGGTTGCCTTTTTAGAGCTGCACATACAAGGATTTATGATTCATTATGAGACGAGAAGGTGATCAGCCTGTTCGCTCTAATAAAATTTACCATTACAAGAACAAGCAGCAGCAAATTTCATATACCGACTCTCTGACATAAATGCAAGATATGTGTTGTTTCGCTGGTTGTTAGTTGAGACCACTTCATAAACTGTGACTCTATTTGGGATGCACAGCTGCCAATTTTGGTTGCAATCAGTTAGTCACTTACTTGCACTTGCAGCAGCTGCAGTACTCCCCTGTCCACCAGATGCCAGCCCACCAATCTTATATTTTAAGTAAAAACACAATGCAAAGCAAAGCACTAACTTCTAACATTATTTTTATTTCCAAGAATACTGCTATGCTTCAAATGGGTATAAAAAGCCTTCTTAGAAAATAAATAGATCAATGAATAAAAATTAGCCATATTTCTTTGCTTGGAAATATGCCACCTGCCCAGAAAGTACACAAAGATAAACAAGAGTAGTATTGAGCAATCTATAGGAAAGAGAGATGGAAGTGATGAAGGATCATTCTGGTATATTGAATGTATCTCTCACAGCAGTCATTTTGTAAATTGTCAAGATCTCATAGCAGTTATTTTGTGAGAGTACCCACAAAATTCTCAAAATTCCAAAAGTACCCAATAGCTGAAAAAGATTGGGGAACCCTAGGCTACAGTAAATTATTAAGCAACAAAACCTATTACAGCTGTTTAATGTAAGCAATTCCATCGTGTTCAGAACTTCATAAGACAGCTTTCGACACCCTGGTGCCCTCAAGATGTATTGGATTACAATTTCTACCACCAGCTGGCTGCGAATTATGAGAAGTGTGGTCCAATACACCTAGAAAGCACTAGGCTGGGGAAAGCTATTTAAAAGTATAAGTGCAGATAAAAATTTAATAAGATGACTTACCATCACTTTGGGTTTTGTTTTTCATTTCTTCCATCCATGTTGGAATATCTTTCAGAGGTACATAATCCCGTAAATATTCTTTACGTCTCTCTTCCAATGTCATCTTCAACAAACGTTCTATTAGAAAGCACATGAATATGTTTTAGCAATATTGTGAAGCAGATTCCTTTGTAGCATGAATCAGTTATAAAGTTATAGTATAAGCATCTGATGAGTTTCTGTAGACTGACATCTTTATTCTTAGCCTAATTACTTAGGCTTGGAATAAACCAAAACTTCATCAAACTCATACATGATTTCAGTTGCTCATTGTGTTAAACAAGTCTATTTAAGTATTTTAAGACTAGATCCATCTGATAAAGTTTAGGGATGAGGGCAACATTTAGTTCTCAGGAAAGATCGCAGTTTATTCTGTTTTTATATCCTATTTTGCTATTTATATTTCAATTGGTAGCCCACTCTATGAATTTAGCAGATTGGACTAGTTTACATATTATTGTTCTACAGCAGATATTACTGTATTTTTCCAACTATAAGACGATACTTTTTTCTAAAATCCTTACCCTAAAAATTGAAGGGCGTCTTATTCAAGGAAATCAGCCAAGGAGAAAACCGCGCGGTTGCAAAACTGTCCATACTTTGTTTCTGCAAAGAGGCTTCCTCCTATTGCTAGCCTCCAATCACGAGTGAAAT